GCCCCCATATAACGGTACCTCCCGATATTCGGCATTTTAATGGTTTTTGCCACATTTCTTCTAATGTTTATTTTACCCTAAGGTGGAGAGTATTAAAAGTTTGGCCCGGCCGAACTTAATGTTTTTTTTTTTACTTGTTAAGATTATAACGGATTTTATTGTTTTTGAGAATTGCCAAATTCGTTTGACCCAAGAAATACCATGTAAACTTTACGTAGTAATAGTAAAGTTTACATTTATTATTAGACTGTAGAAATGATAGTCACTAACTAGTAGTTTATTTAATACAAGTAATTTTGCTAAATTCTCATGATTAAGTTAAATTAAGTGTAGACAAATTTGGCTGTTTCAGTTCTCAAGTTGGAACAAATCAAAGAGATTTTTACGTCAAATATTCTAGGAAGATAGGAAGCAGTTTGTGGCTTCGGTATTATTCGGTTGAAGGAAACGTGTAAAATCGTTTCGGGCATTGAAGCAAATTTCGTGTTTTGTAGCATTAATGTTTAAATCACATTTACATTATTTATTAGACCCTTGTTCTGCAATCGTTTTATTTTTTATATATTATGATCCTTTTCCATTTCGTATAATCTGATTGATTTTTATGTTTGTTGGTAAATCATTAACATGTTATTGTTCCGGTATACCTTGTGTAATTCCTCTGTATTGTCCGATTCCTCTTATGTGTTCACTGCAACTACATACTGAGAACTCATAATAGCAAAATGTGATAACATTAGTTCAAAAGTAAGACTAAACGTACGAAATACATTTCCCGTATACTGGGGCTATACCAAAAGTGGACCGTCATTATCTGCTCTTTGAACGAATGTTTCTAAGAGAAATCCTAAACAAACTACAGTCTAGAAATAAATTTCTTAGAGTTTGTCGAAATCGGTTCAGATTTATAATTCCCTCCGATTAGATTTAAATGGTGCAACAGCCATGTAAAGTTTGTCCAATTATATTTATTTCCATTTTAATCTTGCAATAAACATTCGAAAGAATAAAACCAATAAAGTTTATTACCATGTAATTGTGCCATGAATATAACCATAGCTCAGATTAATATAGAGCTCCTATATGTTAGTTACATTCAATTTCAAATGACAACCCTTCTAAAATTCGTATGACTTACTTAACATTTTAAATGAATATGTGTTACGGGAGTTGCTCTGCTAAATATATATAGCGGTGTAGGGTATCATAATATAGAGTCCATACGACATTTTTCTTTCCTTTCTTTTTTTCTTTTGCTACGGCCGTCTTCGTTCCTTATATCGCAATTAGATTTAAATTATGACTTCGTTAGCCAATGTTAACCATTGTTAGCCTAACTTCGACACAGCCATCTTCATGGCCGAATCGCTATTTGGTAAAACGCGCTTTGAACTAAACGGCGCATTTTACAATCATTCGCCAGCCTTTTTCTACTTCTAATGCATTCATCCCATGATTTTTCAATGATTCCATCAAGAAATTTACGTCCCACAACGATTCTACGGCAAACAATAGACACATTAACGTGGAATTTATATTATGACCAGAACATGATTTTTGCTTTCGGCATTTTCAATTGCTACTTATTTTTCTGTTTATTACTTTTATTCAAATTAGTTTTGGCCGAAACAATACTAAACAGTACTTTGTATTTTAGATGGTTTTGTACCCTACCGACTAGGCAAGAGATTATACAGAATCGAAATTTAAGATCGTTTTTTTATTAAATTGAAACCAGAAACACAAATATTTTTTAGCTGGGAAAAATGAAACACCTAGGTTTGTCAAAAAATAAACTAAAACTGTAAAAACTAAATTGCAATATGGGGCGATCCCAATGAGATAAAAACGAAGAACCTTTTATTACTAGGTAAAAAAGAGATTAGTGGGGTAACAGGCATCCTTACGGGTCACCTGGGCACACAAGCTCATTTGTACAAAATAAGTTGTGCAAATAACTGTATATGCAGGGCATGCGAGAAGATGTTGAAATATTGGAGGACTTTCTCTGCCAGTGCCCAGCGTTTGCAAATTTCAGGTCCCGATTCGTAGAGAAAGACTCAATTCCAGACCTAAATCAGACGAAATAAAGCATCGAAGACATTTTGTTAAGGATACTGAATTTCAAATACAATAGACTGTAAACTGTCAATCTTCTTTCAACAACCTCTTAGTGTAGAGCGCACAACAGGTCTATACTGGCTAACCTAACTCAACTAAACCTATTGTTGCAGATAGCAAAGGATTGAATATAAATTGTATCGGTTAACGTTCTACAGCCTCAGAAATAAAACTACATGTTGAAATAAATATCATTTGGCAGAGTATATATCTAATTTTATCCAAACTTAGGAAATATTTTCGTCTAACTCAGATAGATTTGAACTATGGTACATATACATACCCTATACTGTTAATTTTGGCACCTAACGTAAGTCTGGTAAAAAAAAAAAATATATATATATATATATATATATATTAAGTTTCAACCATATCAGATACTTTCTACGCTTTACACGAGACCAGCTATCCCGTCAAACGTTGTCTTGTCTTATAATTTTTTTCATAGAGACACTTCTGAAACATTGAAGTTCTTTTTTAAATAAAAACATTTCTTTGTGGGTGAAATTGCCTGTTTTGGCACATTATCCACGGTAATACAATCCAAGCAATACATTTCCTGTCTAATATACCAAAACCATATTCAATTTATTTTACTTTTGGAGATATTATTATTTCGCAGTTTCCTGCATGTTCTTTCATGCTAAAATGATTATATTTCGTGGGTAAATGTGACTAGGATTATATATTCGGAGAAACCTTTATATGGGAGCCACACGAAAACGTGGATCTATATATACAATGTTCCGCCACTGTTGCTGGAATCCATTACGAACTATAAATACCATTTCTTAGAAAAAACAAACAATAAGATGTGGCGAAAATTATCAAAATACTGAATACGGCTGTTCCAAGTTATCAAGCTCTACGTCAAATAATCGTCATTTCAACAGACAGTTGAACTTCTTTTAATAGATTTAGAATGTTATTCTGGTTATAAATATATATACTTTATGGGATGTACGACGTATATTTAGGGATGTTACAAACGGAATTACTTTGGTGTGAAAGAATGAGTGACGATTTATGACGTGACCCGTAACCAAAGTAGTAAAAAAGGTATCAAGAAATCACATGAAACAGAGCAGTTTTATAATGGCCGTTCATTTATTACAAACACATTAAGAAATACAAACAAAATATTGACCCTAAACAACCTGAAAATGTATATCAACACATAAGTATGGGTGCTCACATCCTTGAATTGTATGGGGTTGCGTTTGATTCTGATTTTACGTTTTTACACATTATAAACTAAAAAGAAAACAAAGTTTTTATTCCTACGAAAGACAATAAAGAAGCTTCATGTTTGTCGACTTTACTTGACCAAGAACCACGCTGCGTATTCGTAATTTTCAACTCATTATTTAAATGGACTACATTAAAGACACATAAAACTCACATTGACTAACTAGTTCGGTAATATGTGGCTTGAGATGTCTTTCAAATCGATATTCAGCTACACCAACAACCATGGAAGAATATCCCCTTACGTTATTGTTCGAGAGAACGCGTTGAATGGGCAAGAATAACTAATTTAATCTTATTACAATTATCTACATTAGTTTGTCATTACAACAATAGCTGCTTGTACAACTGTGAGCGAAATCTGAAACTGTGGCCTAATTGGCAATCATGTCATACCGACTGAGCGGACAAAATGCATCCAAAGTCGTTCGCATAGAATTGAACTGAAAATGGGCCAATCTTTGATTAAGTAGCTGCTTAGACAGACTAAAAATCATTGTTCGTTGTTGCTGTTGACCGTTGTCGTCTGTGGGGTTGGTTTTGTCTTTCCACCGTATCGTTACTGTTGCTTGTTATTTCTATTTTATTTTGTTGCTGTTGGTGTTGTTGTTTTGTTTTGACGCTGTCTGTTTAACCAAATAATTGGCCATAATCTCCATACAATGTATTGAGAACTACGAAATCACATGCAAAGGTACACTGAAATACAAAGTCGTTTTTTTGTTTACACAGTACACCCACACGCACTGGCACACGCACGCACACACACACACACATCCAGACTCACATCGACTCAGAAAATGCCATTCTTTTGCACATCCAAGTGTCTGGATGTGCGCTCATTCGTTCTGACAAAGTAAAAGATGTATCAATGAACGAGCGATTGACCAATGTTCACGTCCACACTCTGCTATACATACATGCACTCTCTCTCTCTCCCCACATACCAATTCAAACAAACAAGATTGACACGTGCTGTAACGGCAACATGTTGCTAAATATTGCGGCAACACGTTGCAGCCATACCAGCCATGATTCACTACCGGAAGTGCATTTCCCGCCATAAACTCTGCACAACAACTGTATGATCGTCGTGTGGTGAGCGAGCACAACAACGACTCACACACAAGAGCGACAACATAATGTCGGCAACATGGTGTTGCTGCCACACTCAGTTTCCAACTGTTGCTCGCTCGTGCGACGTCAACAATGCACCATCAACTCACACACACACACATTCATACACCTGGTCAGAGCAACAACTTACTACCACGACCAATTACCCTCTCAGCCCCAGTCCCCAGCTAACAATTCTATTCAGCCTGCCTTTAGCTTCAACCGGCACTCTGGCAACATATACGCCTGTGACCGACCATTGCCGCCAAGCTCTGTGTCACTGTGTGTTGCTTGCCATTGCCTTGGCTGGTTGGTTAGTTGGCTGACTGTCTGGTTGTTGCTGCTTCTTGGTACTCCCAGTCGAATGAGCTGAGCTGTGCTGTGCTGCACTGAGCAACTGTGTGAGTAGTTGGATGGATGGATACGTACGTACGTCGTACGTACGAATGCATGGCTGACTGACTGGATGGATGGATGGAAATTTGCCTTTTTCTTACGTAAATAAGAATTTTGGTTTTTGAAAATTCAGTTTGTATTCGACTACCAAATGCAACGAACGGGTTTAGCGCTAGTGCACCACACCACACAACACGGCAACGAAGCACCGAAGACGACGACGACGACGAAGAAGAAGAACGCCTCTCGAAGTAAGCAAAAGTGCATGCACATTGTATGCCAGTTGTGTCAGTAGTGTTGTTGCGGTCGACAACACCGTCAGTATCGTCGTCTGCGACGCTAAGGTGAATTGTGAAAACACGAAATAAAATTCGATTCAATGCAAAAATAACAGCGGCACAAACAAAAACAAGAAACCACCAATTTTCAGTGAAAGCAATAAAAGATCGACATCACCAAATCTCGTCTTTAGAATATTTCTTTTTTTTTCTTTCGCGGAATAGCCATCCATTCATCAGCGGAGTGCATTCGGAAAAGTCGAACAGACAATCGATTTGAATATTGGGTAAATGAATTGGATTTGTTTCCCTTTCGTTGTGGCAAGCGGACGAAAAACAAACGACAAAAAATACATAACCAAATGCAATAATTCTTCGCGGTCGCGTCTCTCTCTTTTTCTCCTCCTCATCCTCATACTCCTGTAAATTACATTTGGCAAAGCATAATAATTTTGTTTTTCAAATCAAATCGCAAGAAGCACATGAAGAAGAAGAAGAAGTGAAAATAAATTAAGTGTTTTGAAATATCGTGGGTGTTGTTATTTGTGTGTTGTTGCCGCCAGTATTTCGCACAGTTCTGTTTGTCACAGCGACGGCATTCAATTTTGTAAACGTATTCAGAAATTCAAAACCAAACAACCAAACTGACAAACAGTCAGCGCATCCAGACCTAAATAAGAAATATCGTGTTCGAATTAACTGTTATTCGAAACCTGAGTGGACAAACGGTAAATAAGGTAGGTTTGTTTTTTGCTTAAATCGAAATCAAGTTGACACCTGCTTAAGATTGAAAGAAATGAAAAGAAAAGAAATATCGAAAAAGAAAATGTTTATATTTTTGAATTCCATACGTATGTACTGACAGCTTTATCGAATAAATGTTCTCCGTGTCATGGCATTGAATTTCAAACATAAAAGTGCCAATTGAAACCATCCCACGAGTTCCTGCTGCTGCTACTGCTACTGCTGCATTACTGCGCCAGTGTTGGGCGGCAATTAGTTACAAATAATTAAAACACATTTTTGATCTATTAAAAAAGCTCAAGGTCAATTTGAGAAATGCCACAGCAACAGACAATAATATTTCCTGAAACTACTATTTATATTAAGATGGAAAGATACTCATACATACGTACATATATGAGAAACGCCATTAGTGTAGATTTCATTTCATTGTAATTTTATTTTGAAAGCAATAAAGCAAGCATGGTGCTCCTTGATTTCAAATATCAAATTTTGGAAAACCATTCATATGTGTATGGGAATTTTTTATTCCCCCTCTGAAAAAAATAAATTATTATGAATCGGACATAGTTTTTGTGAAAATTAGAATGTGGATAATTAAAATTAGTTGTGTTTTATTTTACCAAAAATAGTCAACATTAATCCCAGTAATTTTTTGATTTTAAAATACCATGTGATATCTTAGAGTGATGTTGTATAAAAATATTGCTAGTTATATAGTTACGATAGAGCAGCGAAGAATATGTATGTCATGCATTCAACTAATATAATGTCATTCTTTAAAATTGGAGTATTCATTTTTCTAAAACTGAGTAGCGACAGAGAAAATTTTAATATTTGAGTTTTAAAATAATTTGTTCAAAAGTTTAGTGAACTTTTTTTACATTAAAGCTGATGATACATAAGCGGCTTGGCATCAGTGCATGACATATTATGAGGGGAAGTCAGAGCTGAACTCAAATCCTTCCTTCGTTTTCCCTTTTAATTTGCTTGTGTTTTTTCACCGTGTGTCCTCGAAGATTATAAATTATTTATGGAAGTTTTTGTTAAGCTTTTTATACTCTCTACATATATAGTATATTTATTATTAAGTTAAAATTTGCATACAGTTGAATATTGTCTGCATTCAAGTTCGAACCATATCGGTCAAAGTTTTCGAATACCCCCATGTAATTGTACCTCTCCATATTTGATATTTTGCCGGTTTTAGCCGCACTATCTAATGGTACAGTTTTAAATTGAGATTTTTATACCCTACACTACAAGGTGGTCAGGGTATTATGCTTTTGTGCATTTGTTTGTAATAGGCAAAAGGAAACGAGATAGACCCATAGTTCTTTTTGATGATCTGCATAGAATCACATTCTGAGTCGATTTTTGCATGCGCGTCCGTCCGTCTGTCCATATATTTTTGTCAACAAAGTACAGGTCGCATTTTTTGCTCGAGTCAGATGAAATTTGCACAAATAATTTGTTTGACCCAAGGACGAACCCTATTGAAATTGGAGACAATCGGTCAAAATTTAGGTGTAACTCCCATACATATTTTCTTCCGATTTGCCCTATATTGTGCACCATAATATACCGTAATATGCACTCAGTACCAACGATATTTTGGGGAAAATATCAAATTCAGCTCCGAAATACCTTAGCCAAATTGTACTGAGATCTGTTCAGATTTGTTTATAGCTCCCATATATATATTCATCTGATTTCAAGTTAATTGTGCTCCAAATGGGTAATACAAGCCCGAATTGAAAAACACAAATGCCTCCACAAATTTAATCCTTTGGACAATAAATTATAACTATAATCATAGATGGTATGATTTAATTCTCACAAATTCCCCATAAAAACTTTTACTTTTTGATGTGAAGCTTTACTAAGAATGCAAAGTGGTGTAGGGTATCAAAAGGTCGACCCGCCCTACTTTAAGACTTTACTAGTTTAGAGTTTGCAATGTTATCTACCTCCTGTGGCAGAACTTTATCTATATAGATCTACTTTTTCGTATAGCCTCCATTTAATTATAACACTTGATATTCGGTATATTGACGATTTAGATTAGATTTTCCTCCATATCACGGTACCATCGTTCATTCGGTTTTCTGATGATTTTAGACAAACTTTCAAATGGCTTTGTTTAAAATTCGGTTTGTAGAGTTTGTAATGTGTCTGTCTTTTGTTGCAGAAGAAACAGATGGTTGTGTATCACAATCGGGGAACCTACAAATATTTGGCATATTGGTGATTTTAACCACATTTTTTAAACATAATTTTTTCCTTTTTGTGATACCCTACACCCTTTGCATATTAAGTAAAAATAAAAGTTTTTATTGCAAATTTTTGAGAATTAAAACACACCAACTATGATTATAGTTATAATTTTAAGTCCAAAGGAACTAATATATGAGAGGAATATCCTTCTCTGAATCAATTTCTACTAAATTTGCTTGGGCTTGTATTACCCATTTAAGAATTAACTTGAGAACGGATAAAAATATATATGATAGCTATATCCAAATCTGAACCGATCTAGTTAGGATTTAGCAAAGGTATTTCTGAGCAGTACTTGATATATTTCCCCAAATATCGTTATTGCAGAGTGCTTATTACAGCTGCGGAGTACAAAGATAACAAATCGGATGAACAATACATATGGGAGCTATAGCTATATCTGAACCGATTTCGATAAAATTTGGCACACTTTTTTAGGCCTAATTTACAAACATATTTAATTTTTATACGAAGTGTCAAGATTTTAGCTGTACCCGTTCACAAAATACCAAAAGTTACGAAATGTAGTGTTTTTTAGTGATTTTATAATGCTTCTATTCTGAATTTCTAAAAACACTCCCTTTCCACCAACATTGACCCACATGCAAAATATCGAAATTCGTTTCGCTTGGTAGTTGATGAATCAGTCAGTCAGTCTCTCATTTTTTTACAGATGTATGATAGATGATTTTATATTGGATTTTAGTTATTGCGAAGGTCATGACGGCATCTTTCGGTCTAAGAAGTCGTAATTTTATATTTTTTAATCCTAATAGATAGAACACATCGTACCAAAAACTATTCAATGTTTTGGAATTACCCCCATAGGCCTTCTCCTTCTTATCAGATGAAATATTTTTTTTTAATTTTAATTCGTAACCAGTAGAAACCTATCTGACATTCTGTCTTAACAGGCATTTGCACATCGACGGTGTAACGCTACCGCTAAATTTTAGGGATTTTTAGGACAACCGATGTTTATACTATCCACCATTCTATGGAGGATATATTAGCTTTGTCATTCCGTTTGTAACTCCTCGAAATATTCATGATAGACCCTACAAAGTATATATATTCTGAATCAAAGTAAAATTCTAAGACGATTTAGCGATGTCCGTCTGCTTGTTGTAATTAAGATATTTTTTTAAAGGAATTGAGATATAGGGCTACACATTTTGCACACATGTGTATTCTACCAGTAGACAGCTTTTATATGGAGCTATATAACGGTATCTCCCGATATTCGTTTTTTTTTTTTTTTTTTTTTTGATGATTCTAGAGACATAATTCACCCGAATTGTTTAAAATTTCGCATTCGAAGTTTGTAATGGGTATTACAGCTTATGCCTAAAAATTTCGTATGCAGATCTCCATATAACGGTACCTCCCTATATTCGATGCTTTGATGATTTTAGCGCATTACTCACCCGAATTGTTTCAAATGTCGTATTCAAAGTTCGTAACGGGTAATACACCTATGAGATAAAGTTTCATTGAAGTCCCGCGCCGTCGTGTAGCCCCCATATTACGGTACCTCCCGATATTCTGTATTTTGATGATTTTAGCGACATTATTCGCCGGAATTGTTTTAAATTTCTTATTTGAAGATTTTAAAGGGTACTACAGCCTATTACAAAAAGAATTACGTATGCAGGCCCACGTCTTCGTATATTTAAAAAAATTTCCAGTATCTTCTAAATTGTGGGGAGTATTAAAAGTTAGGCCCGGCCGAACTATTTTTTTTTTTTTTTTTTTTTTTTGAAACTGCCATATGGCAGTTTTTTTAAAGAACACAAACAAATATAACTTTCTTTTTTACAACTTTTTTCTAGACAAACTCGGATAAGTAGAAAGTAATAGTCGACAAATTATAGTTTGTTTATATATTGATTTTGAAGGATATATTGACATTTATTTCTCTGTTTTACTAGTTTTATTGTTAATAAGAAAAGATGAAAGCTAATGGCAATGACAATATATATTTCCGCGCAAATGCAATTGCAGGTGGTGTTAGAATATCTGTATGTACCCTAATATTCGGTGCATGCATTCTATATAATGCTTAGTAAACCTGTCAATTTTACTTTTAATTTTCTTAAATTTAATTTTGAGGAAATCATCAACAGAATATGTGTTGTTGCCAAAAAAGAAACGCTTACGCCAACCATCCCTCGCATTATTTTGGCAACGGTGTAAGGTGCAATTGACTGGCAACGCTTACAATTGAAAGTATTTATTTACGTCTATGTTCTGCTCTTTATGTACAACAATAACGTATAGTATTTGTTGCAATAATAAAATCGAAACTGAATACATTACATAGACACTTGGCCGGATGGTAATTCTATAGACTTTGTGGCGCGCAGCATCCGATAATGATGATTATTGGTGTATTTGACCAATACAAAACTTCTTTGAAATTCTAAACAATCATCGAAAATAAAAGGTTAGAAGAATACATACAAGGAATAAATACCAGATCGTATTGATTTTTAAGTTGAAAATATAACAAAACAATAAAAGTTCAGCTGGGAACTTTTAATACCATCCACCATGTGGAAGGAACTTGCAAATTTTCCGAAAAGTATCACTAAAATGAAAACAGTTATACGGGGGCTATAAGAAGACTTGAACCTGCCTGCATAAGTATTTTTTGTCATAGGCTGTAGTACAAATCCGGAATAATGTCGCTAAAATCATCCAAATGCCGAATATAGGGTGGTATCGTTATATGTGGGTTATACGAAGACCCATTACAAACTCTCTAAACGAAATTTGAAACAATTCCGGTGAAAAATGTCAAAGTACCAAATATTGGGTGGTTCCGTTATATGGGGGCTATACGAATACGCGGACCATCATGGTCCATTTTCTAACTGATAATAGACCACTATACTATCAATTAAAGCTTTTATTATTATTAATTAATTAATTAATTAAATTTTCTCTTTATAGAAGTACAAAATCGCATTTTGTTTGTAGAAGTACAAAACCTTTTTGACACCTGTTTAGAAATTTCAATTTACGTTTAAAAACATAATTCAGTACTTAAAAATTATTGTAATAGCTGTTAAAATAGAGCGCCAGAAATAAGTATCGTTTTGATTGCCCAAAGACGAGTTTCGTTGGAAGCGTGATCTTGCTTAAGAATTTTTTTCTGAACAGATTGGAAATCAGTGGACTATCAAATTTGCAATCGGTCACAATCGGAAAAATTAAAGCCCGGTCAAAAATCTATGCACTTCATCACATTGTGGTA